TTGACTGTGATTCGCACTTTGGCGACGCTGTGTGGCGATGTTTGGTGACTCACTATGTGACAAGCGTGCACCACATCCCCGTGGCCGAGCAGCACGTCGCCCCACATGACGAACCAACAGCAGACTGAGGGATGCGAGCTGATCCCTGCCAGGCCGCCGTCCTCGCGCGGGAGAATCTCATCGCCACAGTGTGAATGGGTAAGAAGTGAATACACAGTTCAATGAGCCAAATTAATTTATTTTCTCCACCAGACGCTCGAGGACATTTACGAGCCGGTCCAGCCGCTCGTTGATCCCCGCGATTCCCCTGATGATTTCTTCCTGCGATTGCAGGACCCCCTTCGCGAGGACCCTTCCACTGCGTCCGGGTGGTCCAGCGGAAACGACGCGGCTGGTGGACGCTCCACCGCTTGTCGGCGCGCTGGTGCTGATGCTGGTGCTGGTGCAGGGGCCGGGGGCCGGGGTGGCCTGAATGCCGCTGGTCCTGGCCGACGACTCCGAGCCGGCGGACGGGCTGCCGTGGGCCGGGGTTCCGCAAGCCGGCGACACGGCCGACATATTGATTTCTGTGACACAATAAAAATATTGGTTCATTTCAATTCCTGCTTCTGTGTATCTGTTGCGTTTACATCTCTCTCCACGGTATCATAGGTAATGTAATCCAGTATTTAGAGGTCAGTTATGCACATTACAGTTGTTTATTGCATAAAAAGTTATCGAAAAATGAAGTTAAGGGCGAAGTATAAATCACGTCTAAAAATCGACTGAATCCCGACGTTGAAATGAAGTATAAACTTAGACTAGACGTCTAATATACGTCTTTTGCTCAGTGGGATGACAAAGCATGTGTACATTTGTGTGACACGCCACTTACCCTATAATAATAATCACCACCACCCGCTGCTCAAACGGCGTGAGGGTCTCCTCCCCCGGAACCCCACCTGTCTGGCCAGTACTCCTCCGGAGGACAGCTGTACGCCGCTTGACCTCCACCTTGAGGTCCGACCACTTTTTTTTAATCTCCGCGGGGGTGCGTGTCTCGGAACCCACCGCATTCACCCTCTCGCAAACTTTCTCCCACTCCAAGCGTTTTTGTTTTGCACTGACGCCACTGGACAGGCTGCCAAACAAAACACGCTGCCGCTCCTCCACCTCCGCCACCAGAACCTCCACCTCGCACGCCGTAAATTTAGTTTTTCTTGTCATTTTGTCTGCGTGCGAGGACAGGGAGACCCTATTTAAATAAATCTGCATATTTATAGGAGGGCGTAACGGGGACGGGCCCAGTCACTCCGACATCTGCGCTCAATTCCACGCTGATTGGGATTTATAGAGGAAACACACGTGGATTTCGGCGCCCGCACACATTGATACATACGGATTTTTTTCAGCGTTACGGACCTTGCGTACGCTCGTTTCTGGTATGAGTTCCACGCAAGTATTGATACATAAGGCCCCAGGTCTTTAGCTTGGACCAATGCAAATACACTTGGAGATGAGCCTTCAAGATAAATGAAAGAAAAAGTCAAAAAAGCACAAAGAGCGGGAGGACTGAGATCTTGTCATGAAGCGGAGCAAAGGAGTGGAGCATGATGGACTGCAGAGATAGGCTGTAAAACTAAGCTTGACTGCGTATCCGGGTGTTTTCTTGAGCGACGCATTGTTGATTGAAAGTGAAATGCTGTTTATAATTGAGATAACCACACAGGAGCATGTTCAAATAGCTCATTTGGAGCCTGTGTCATCGCTTACGGCCATACCACCCTGAACACGCCCAATCTCGTCCGATCTCGGAAGCTAAGCAGGGTCGGGCCTGGTTAGTACTTGGATGGGAGACCGCCTGGGAATGGGCCATGGCCATCACACTAAATTATCACATAGATTGCTGTTTGCCACATTAAAATATAATTAGTGATTAATTGTACTTTAAGGTCACTTAAGCCCAACTAGATATGTTGTGGTTTGAGTGAAACTATAACAAAAACATCAACAGAATGGTAAATCTGCTAACAATGGGACAGTCTATCTATGTTCTTTTCAACAGACGTAAGTCCAGTTATCTGTGTCAGTGCTTAATATTTTATTTTTAATCAGGAAAACAGCTTACTCAAATAATTTAATGTCTGTAAAGATGTAAACATCTTACCGTCGCTTCTCACCACGTCTTCTCCCAGTGACATGACAAGGGTGCTGATACTGCACTTGAGGTCGATCTGGTTGTGGTAGGATTGAGGGTAGGTCAGGAGCTTCGGGTACTGGTTGATCCGACAGCACTGCCTTGTGGGGCTTTGTTTTGGGCAACACAGTTGCCATGTAGTTGGCCTTCTTCTCCTCTCTTGAGATGAAGTTGGAGATGGACTTATTATTGATGTTGGGCAGAGGGATAGAGAGATTGGCAAGAATGGGATCGTCTCTCACTCGGTCAGCAATCCTTTTATACTGCCCCTTTAAGCAGGTGATCACCTTGCTGGGAGAGGCGAGCTGACTGGCCGGCGGTCGATTTTTCAGCATCTTGATGATGAGGTACAACAGGCGGCTATCCTCTGTCACCTGTGCTGCCTGAGGGTACCTCATCCACCCAAACTTTGTCTTCTGAGCCGCACTGGTCTCAGGTGAGTCGGCTCCAAGGCAACGGCCGAACAGGGTGTAGCCCCACCTGGACTCGTACTTCTTGACAAAGTTGGAGACTGTCTTGTCGTGCTCATGAAGGGAGCTGGCAGCAGCAATAATCTTTTGTCTGAGGTCGGCTGGCACAAGGTGTTGATCACTGTTATCTGCCAGGATCAGAAGCAGCAATGCCAATCTCTCCACTTCCTCTATCCCTGGCAGATGCAGATGCCGCTGGGTCATGAGTACATCCTGCAGAGCAGGACTGTCCTCCTCCTTCACCTGTTCTCCTTGGATAAGGAGGGTGTGTTCCCTCGACACGCTGTCGATAGGGTCGTCCTCTGACTCTGCAGACATCTCAATACCCTCATCTTCCGTCTCCTCTTCACCTTGTTCAGCTGTCTCCTCATCATCTTCCTCTTCACGAGACTGCTCTTCCTCAGCTGCAAACACATAAAAATACATCATTACAATGTGCTAAGGTTGTTAAAACACTCACTATATTCATAGGCCTATTTGCCAATTATAGCTCTAGTTTCTGTTTCATAATACCCAGTGGACCAAATTGGCAAGAATAAGGCTAAAAAATATCCTCGGTTTCTGTATAATAGTTATATAATAATATTAGAATGGATAGTTGTCAAAGTATGAGATTTTGTACTGTACCAATCTTTGCATAGTAGCTCTTTGCCATGAAGTTGGTGGACTGGCACATGGCATACTCCACACCGAGGAGCTCCCCCTCATCTGGATCTGCAGAGTCAGGCATGGGGGCAGCAAAGTTGGTCTCAAGGAGGTGTTCCTTGCCGAATAGGACCTCAGCCTGCTGATTCATGCGCTGGATCTGCCGTGCATCCATACATGACGTCTTCCGTCCCTGACCACCAGCAACCCGGAGGGAATCCATGCGGTTGTTCCACTGCACAGCAAACGCAACCAGGTACACCTGCAATATCATTTAAATGAGATACATACATACAACATGATGTAATTTCATAAAATCTGCAACACAATGTATTACATGATTACATGATTAATGAATCCTTTTTTGCTTTTTGCTTGAATATATTCAATAGAAATGGCTAGGTGAGAAGCCACTACAGTAAACGCTTGGCATAGACAAATAAAATAAAAGAAAGAAAAAGAAAAAATACATCAAATGCTGTTTTAACCTGATTTACTGTAGTTATTTCAATTTAACAAGGTCTGCTGCTTCTATATGGGTGGCAGGAACTACCTCTACCTGTTGTGTAAATTTAGATTGTAAAAGGTTGAATCATGGACACTGCATTCTATGGTTTGAAATATCACTCTGCCTAATATGCCTATCCAATGTTTTTGAATAAATGCATGGTCAAAAAATGTAGCATGGCATCCGATAGTTTGCCAAAGAGTTACCTAAGAATATTGTGCTTCATTTGTTGTTTATTAATCTAATTGATTTAATTCATTTTAACTATCTACCTGCTATTTAAACATTTACTCCTATACTCTGTGTAGCTTCATCTTGTGAATCGGCTTGGACGGATGTCATTACCATTTTAAAAAGCTATATGGCTCAAAAACGGTAGAAGATTTTTTTTTTAAGGCTTGAGGTTAAAAGGTACTAAGCCCTGCATTGATAGGTATTATAATTATTATTATCATTATATTATTACTGTTCCGCTGTCAGTTAACGAACCTGCATGCAACCAAGATGCTTGCTTGCTGTGGCCCAGTGAGCATCAACTGCCTCTGATGACTTGAAGAGGTGGATTCCATCAATGTCAAGCCCTGCTGGTCCCTTGAACTCAGCAATGATGGACTCGGTCACTGAAGCTGTCTCCTGTAACAAGCATATCCCATTTTCAGTGAAATATGGTTAGTGAACTTAAATTAAATTTTCAAACAACAAGGAAATGCATAATAGGGTTATTTTAACACTGACGTAAACCCCTCGAGTGATGCGCCTGACATAAGCCCGGATCTGATGAGGCTTGAGGAAGCCAATCATCTCCTCGTCCGAGTACTTGGCGTAGAGCTCCTGGTTGCCACTCCTGACTGCCTGGACTAAGAGCATCATATCTCCCTTGTTGTAGGCGAGCACAGCACCTGCCAGGGCACTCATGAACGCTCCATACTTGGCATGGCTCTGCTTGATAACAACAGCATCCCAGCGATGCAGCCAGTGTCGGATGTCCAGTCTGACCACAGTGCCTCTCTGCACCCACTCACTGAACAGATTCTCCAGGAAGGATGAACCACTGTCACTGAAATAATATCAGTGTGTTAGGAGTTGTGTGTTTTAAATAAAATATGCAATGTCAATGTAAATTTTATTCAATGTTAACTGACTCATATTTAAATTAAATGATAAAATTATTAGGGTCCTAATGGAATGGTTATTATGGTGGTTACCGGCAACAGTTGTTGTCTGCATAGATGACCTTGGGAGCAGGGGCATTGGCACACTCAAACCGGGCAATCAGTCCTCTGGCCATACGCTGGTAACATCCCTCAGACTCGGCTGCCACCACTACTGTTGTCAGAAACTGTCCCCATTCATTCAGTACGCTGGTGACGTACTGCATGGTGCCCTGACCACCACCGTAGATCTTCTTGAGGACCTGTAAACATAAGAAACAGAGCATACATTGTTTGGTGTATAACAATCTGTCTGCTAATTATATCATTTCTATGATGAACGGAAGTTATTATTGACAATTAACATACATGGGCATGACATGACAAAACAAAACACTGACCAGAATGATACTGTATACATACCTTCCTAGTACCATCAATACAGAGGATTTCTCCGGTTACACAGAGGATCTGGCTTCTGTACACTGGCATCTTCTCAATCTCCATGATAAGGTGAGCTCGCCGCAGCACACGAGCAGATGGAAGGGGAGACTGTGGAATGGGCGGGGTGTAAGTGCCAGCAGCTTTCACCATGGACAGGATGCCCCTTTGAGATGATGTGGATCCAGCTGTGTGGGCCTCATAGAGGAGAGTCTGGTAGAGGTCACGCCGCTCCACATACCACACACTGTGGCCCTGCTGCAACAGTATCTGCACCTTTGTCATGGAGACAGCGTTGAGTCGGTCGCTCAGCAACGTCACCACTCCCCTGTCGATGGCTCGCTTTCCACAGAGTATGGCAGGGAACATGCTTCTGATGGCTGGGGCAAGGTTCATCAGAATGCTGGGACTGTATGCCAGTCATGTGTATTGCATGTGTCCATCCTCATCCTCATCTTCAGCATCTCCCTGTGCCTGCCTGGTCTTCTGGCAATGTGGGCAGATGAGCTTCTCTGTCAACAGAGTGTAGTTGTACTGGACACCACAGACTTGCCTTGCGTAGCTACCGAATCCTTTTTTCTGCAGGTACTCCCCTAGAGGTGCAGGACAATTAGCGTTTGGGCAGCGGATCATGGCTTGCATCACACCAACTGGCCGCCAGAAGAAGGCCGGGGTGGTAAAGAAGGCCAGCATGTTTGGCACTCCTCCCTTAACCGAGACGGGTGGTGGGGGTGGGTGGAACTCCATTCTGTCCTTAAGAAGCTTCCTCTCCACTATCTCTCCTTTGGCATTTTTGTATTTTGAGGCCCTTTCAAAGAGGCCAAATGTCTCATTAGATTTAAGCCACTTGATGTTTGGGAGGGCTATTCCGAGGGCTTGGGAAGCTGCAGGTGGGTTCTCCCAGTACTTCTGCCAACCCTCCAAAATGATGCCAGAATCAGAGGCAGATGTTGGTGCTGGGCATGAAGTTTCAGGCCTCGTGTCCTGACACACAGCTGGAGTAAGCTCTCCCCAGGTGGTGAGCTTTGTGGAGACTGCCACCTCTGACGTGTCAAGGTAAGATTCTGATGAAGATAGACATCACAGAAAAAGATATGCATTTGATTGTTTTCTGCTGCCTACTAATAAACATCCTGTATTTTACCTGGATAACCATATTTTACCAAAAAGATATGCATTTGATTGTTTTCTGCTGCCTACTAATAAACATCCTGTATTTTACCTGGATAACCATATTTTACCAAAATAATCCTACTGAGGTCATTTCAATCCTCTCCAGCATAAGTTTACCTGCAACAGCCAATAACTCAGCATCGGTTGCACAGCTAAGGTCCTGGTGAAGCTCTGAGTCGGCTTTTTGTGACGTCTGTTTCTGAACATTAAATATGAAAAAAAAAAAAAAAAAAACAGATTCCAGTTTACTTCTATGAGCCTCTTACCTACAGTGATATATACATCTGGTATTACTTCAGCACTGATTATTCAAAATATCATCCATTTCTAAGTATAAGGAATGAAAAGAGTCATCTTACCCCCAACCGCTTCTCAAGATGACATGTTACAGAGGGGAATTGTCTCGCATACTCCAACATTCGCTCCTTTTGCCACTGTAGAAGCTCAGCTTTTTCACCTTTCTTGCAGTACTCGGCAAGCAGCCACACGACCCAGCCAACATCGTTTTCCAGGAGCCATCTAAAGGACTGTCCAGCATACTTCCCCCAGGTCAGAACTAACTGCCCTTTCCACATTTCCCCACCAAGTGTCTTTGCAGCAGCCTCCGCCTTCACGGGATCCAGCCAGGTAGGGTCTACAACTTTCCTCGGAGCCTCTGTGACAGCCCTGGCTGCATCAGTACACTGCAGCCTGGCCTCTCCCTGCCTGTACAGAGGGATGCTTGGATACTGATGCAGCTTGATGTGGTTGTTCAGCTGGGGTTTGGTTGTGAAGCTTTTTCCACAAACATCACACTGGTTCTCCTTTGGTGCATGGATTTTCATGTGGCGTGTAAGGTTGGACTTTTCCGTGAAGACCTTGTCACATACACTGCACTTATTTACTCTGTCCATACCTGGTGAAGTGAAATGTGAAGAAATATCAGTCATAATGTATTATGATGAAAAGATTGATAATTATGTCAGTCCTATTTGCCTAAAAGCAACGTAGTATGATTTTTAAACAGCCTATTTTGCCAAAACCATGTGTATTCTAGTCCTAAGAGATGACCAGATTTCATTTAGTAGATTCGACTCAAATGGCTAACTATAATTGTTAAAACTCTTGGATTTAAACAGTCTTAGATTGACCAGTATCACATAACACTGTGAAGAAACAAGAATAATAAACTAGGTGCAATTTAATGTACATGATAACACTGAAAGTTTCAACCCCTGTACATGACACTGCACACACAGACACTGTGTTATTGTGACGCGGTCAGAAAATATTTATGCAGCCAGAAAGAAACCTACGAAAGTGGTTGGTCTGTTTTTCAATGTAGTTTTTTTCTGTATTTCTCAGTAGTGTTTCCCTGTTAGTTTGCCGTGGCGGTGCTACTAGCTTACTCCAGTAGCTCGCGCATACTCATCCGCTGTGGGCGACACAGGCCGCTGTTCACGAAAGAGCTACGTTAACTTCGTAGCGGTACCACGGCCGGAAAAGTGCTTCATTAAATACTTCCCACACACGCTCCCTTGATAAATTTACCTGTAGTCGTTAAAAGTCAAAAGAGATGGAGATCCGAGAGGTTAACTTGTCCGTTCGTTTTCAGTCAATCCGCTGTGGGCGACACAGGCCGCTGTTCACGAAAAAGGTACGTTGACTTCGTAGCAGTACCACGGCCGGAAAAGTGCTTCATAAAATACTTCCCACACATGCTCCCTTGATAAACTTACCTGTCGTCGTAAAAAGTCAGAAGAGATGGAGATCCGAGAGGTTAACTTGTCCGTTCGTGTTCAGTCAGTGCGGGCTATCCATCACTATCAGTGAATCCCTGTCAGTGACTGACAGACCGGCTGCTGCTCAATGATTGGACGCTGAGACTGCTGGACCTGCTCAACGTCGCTCAACCATTGGTCGCTGACTGCTCAACTGGTCAATTTGAGGGTCGGATAAGGACTTGGAGGAGAGTTTGCCTGGGAATACCAGGTGCTGTAAGCTTTTCTCTTCTTTTCTTGCATCTTTTTGCCATGTTCTCTCTCCAAGAGGCTAGGATATCGGTCTTTGGGCAGCCTGGTCTTTTGCTTGGACAAATGCAAGTGCACTTGGAGATTAGGCTGAACATAAAATGAAAGGAAAAGTCAAAAAGCACAAAGAGCGGGAGGACTGAGATCTTGTCCTAAAGTGGAGCAAAGGAGTGGAGCATGATGGACTGCAGAGATAGGCTGTAAAACTAAGCTTGACTGCGTATCCGGGTGTTTTCTTGAGCGCCGCATTGTTCACTGAAAGTGAAATGCTGATTCTAATTGAGAGAAGCACACAGGAGCATGTTCAAATAGCTCATTTGGAGCCTGTGTCATCGCTTACGGCCATACCACCCTGAACACGCCCGATCTCGTCCGATCTCGGAAGCTAAGCAGGGTCGGGCCTGGTTAGTACTTGGATGGGAGACCGCCTGGGAATACCAGGTGCTGTAAGCTTTTCTCTTCTTTTCTTGCATCTTTTTGCCATGTTCTCTCTCCAAGAGGCTAGGATATCGGTCTTTGGCGAGCCTGGTCTTTTGCTTGGACAAATGCAAGTGCACTTGGAGATTAGGCTGAACATAAAATGAAAGAAAAAGTCAAAAAGCACAAAGAGCGGGAGGACTGAGATCTTGTCCTAAAGTGGAGCAAAGGAGTGGAGCGTGATGGACTGCAGAGATAGGCTGTAAAACTAAGCTTGACTGCGTATCCGGGTGTTTTCTTGAGCGCCGCATTGTTCACTGAAAGTGAAATGCTGATTCTAATTGAGAGAAGCACACAGGAGCATGTTCAAATAGCTCATTTGGAGCCTGTGTCATCGCTTACGGCCATACCACCCTGAACACGCCCGATCTCGTCCGATCTCGGAAGCTAAGCAGGGTCGGGCCTGGTTAGTACTTGGATGGGAGACCGCCTGGGAATACCAGGTGCTGTAAGCTTTTCTCTTCTTTTCTTGCATCTTTTTGCCGTGTTCTCTCTCCAAGAGGCTAGGATATCGGTCTTTGGGGAGCCTGGTCTTTTGCTTGGACAAATGCAAGTGCACTTGGAGATTAGGCTGAACATAAAATGAAAGAAAACGTCAAAAAGCACAAAGAGCGGGAGGACTGAGATCTTGTCCTAAAGTGGAGCAAAGGAGTGGAGCATGATGGACTGCAGAGATAGGCTGTAAAACTAAGCTTGACTGCGTATCCGGGTGTTTTCTTGAGCGCCGCATTGTTCACTGAAAGTGAAATGCTGATTCTAATTGAGAGAAGCACACAGGAGCATGTTCAAATAGCTCATTTGGAGCCTGTGTCATCGCTTACGGCCATACCACCCTGAACACGCCCGATCTCGTCCGATCTCGGAAGCTAAGCAGGGTCGGGCCTGGTTAGTACTTGGATGGGAGACCGCCTGGGAATACCAGGTGCTGTAAGCTTTTCTCTTCTTTTCTTGCATCTTTTTGCCGTGTTCTCTCTCCAAGAGGCTAGGATATCGGTCTTTGGGGAGCCTGGTCTTTTGCTTGGACAAATGCAAGTGCACTTGGAGATTAGGCTGAACATAAAATGAAAGAAAACGTCAAAAAGCACAAAGAGCGGGAGGACTGAGATCTTGTCCTAAAGTGGAGCAAAGGAGTGGAGCATGATGGACTGCAGAGATAGGCTGTAAAACTAAGCTTGACTGCGTATCCGGGTGTTTTCTTGAGCGCCGCATTGTTCACTGAAAGTGAAATGCTGATTCTAATTGAGAGAAGCACACAGGAGCATGTTCAAATAGCTCATTTGGAGCCTGTGTCATCGCTTACGGCCATACCACCCTGAACACGCCCGATCTCGTCCGATCTCGGAAGCTAAGCAGGGTCGGGCCTGGTTAGTACTTGGATGGGAGACCGCCTGGGAATACCAGGTGCTGTAAGCTTTTCTCTTCTTTTCTTGCATCTTTTTGCCGTGTTCTCTCTCCAAGAGGCTAGGATATCGGTCTTTGGGGAGCCTGGTCTTTTGCTTGGACAAATGCAAGTGCACTTGGAGATTAGGCTGAACATAAAATGAAAGAAAACGTCAAAAAGCACAAAGAGCGGGAGGACTGAGATCTTGTCCTAAAGTGGAGCAAAGGAGTGGAGCATGATGGACTGCAGAGATAGGCTGTAAAACTAAGCTTGACTGCGTATCCGGGTGTTTTCTTGAGCGCCGCATTGTTCACTGAAAGTGAAATGCTGATTCTAATTGAGAGAAGCACACAGGAGCATGTTCAAATAGCTCATTTGGAGCCTGTGTCATCGCTTACGGCCATACCACCCTGAACACGCCCGATCTCGTCCGATCTCGGAAGCTAAGCAGGGTCGGGCCTGGTTAGTACTTGGATGGGAGACCGCCTGGGAATACCAGGTGCTGTAAGCTTTTCTCTTCTTTTCTTGCATCTTTTTGCCGTGTTCTCTCTCCAAGAGGCTAGGATATCGGTCTTTGGGGAGCCTGGTCTTTTGCTTGGACAAATGCAAGTGCACTTGGAGATTAGGCTGAACATAAAATGAAAGAAAACGTCAAAAAGCACAAAGAGCGGGAGGACTGAGATCTTGTCCTAAAGTGGAGCAAAGGAGTGGAGCATGATGGACTGCAGAGATAGGCTGTAAAACTAAGCTTGACTGCGTATCCGGGTGTTTTCTTGAGCGCCGCATTGTTCACTGAAAGTGAAATGCTGATTCTAATTGAGAGAAGCACACAGGAGCATGTTCAAATAGCTCATTTGGAGCCTGTGTCATCGCTTACGGCCATACCACCCTGAACACGCCCGATCTCGTCCGATCTCGGAAGCTAAGCAGGGTCGGGCCTGGTTAGTACTTGGATGGGAGACCGCCTGGGAATACCAGGTGCTGTAAGCTTTTCTCTTCTTTTCTTGCATCTTTTTGCCGTGTTCTCTCTCCAAGAGGCTAGGATATCGGTCTTTGGGGAGCCTGGTCTTTTGCTTGGACAAATGCAAGTGCACTTGGAGATTAGGCTGAACATAAAATGAAAGAAAACGTCAAAAAGCACAAAGAGCGGGAGGACTGAGATCTTGTCCTAAAGTGGAGCAAAGGAGTGGAGCATGATGGACTGCAGAGATAGGCTGTAAAACTAAGCTTGACTGCGTATCCGGGTGTTTTCTTGAGCGCCGCATTGTTCACTGAAAGTGAAATGCTGATTCTAATTGAGAGAAGCACACAGGAGCATGTTCAAATAGCTCATTTGGAGCCTGTGTCATCGCTTACGGCCATACCACCCTGAACACGCCCGATCTCGTCCGATCTCGGAAGCTAAGCAGGGTCGGGCCTGGTTAGTACTTGGATGGGAGACCGCCTGGGAATACCAGGTGCTGTAAGCTTTTCTCTTCTTTTCTTGCATCTTTTTGCCGTGTTCTCTCTCCAAGAGGCTAGGATATCGGTCTTTGGGGAGCCTGGTCTTTTGCTTGGACAAATGCAAGTGCACTTGGAGATTAGGCTGAACATAAAATGAAAGAAAACGTCAAAAAGCACAAAGAGCGGGAGGACTGAGATCTTGTCCTAAAGTGGAGCAAAGGAGTGGAGCATGATGGACTGCAGAGATAGGCTGTAAAACTAAGCTTGACTGCGTATCCGGGTGTTTTCTTGAGCGCCGCATTGTTCACTGAAAGTGAAATGCTGATTCTAATTGAGAGAAGCACACAGGAGCATGTTCAAATAGCTCATTTGGAGCCTGTGTCATCGCTTACGGCCATACCACCCTGAACACGCCCGATCTCGTCCGATCTCGGAAGCTAAGCAGGGTCGGGCCTGGTTAGTACTTGGATGGGAGACCGCCTGGGAATACCAGGTGCTGTAAGCTTTTCTCTTCTTTTCTTGCATCTTTTTGCCGTGTTCTCTCTCCAAGAGGCTAGGATATCGGTCTTTGGGGAGCCTGGTC